TCTTTATCTAAACTGAGCAATATAAAACAAAATAATCCCTCACTAGAACAAGGGATACCAGCCCTGGATGAAAGCTGCCAATCCTATCACTTCTGCAGATGTGTACAGAGCCATGCTTAGTTCTGCAATCACACAGTGCTAGACAAACTTCTTAAGAGGACAAGATAATACATTAAAAAAGCGATTAATTCGTTTTGTTTGACAGCCACATCTTATGTTTGGTTATTTAGGAAATACTGCATCACATACTAAATTAAGGTGAAATAAAGTATCACCGCCACACAGGGCTATTAAGCTTTAATCCCAATGAGATTTGTGAGAGAAGTGTCTGTGATAAGGTGCAGAAATTTACGTGCATATTTTTTCTGTTGTCTAGGATTGTGCTGTTCAAAGCTGTATGTAGGAATTATGTGCAATACCATAAACATTCAGTGTATCTTGAATATACCTAACACTATCTAACTTTGCTGGCAACACTTTCCTTTTGCATGATTGTAGCTACCTGCCTGGGTTACAGATTGAAAGTGCTGCTCAGCTTTTGGCTCAGTTACTTTCAGTGATCCTAACTCATTTAGAAGACGGTAATCTGTCTTGTTTTGATTTAGGAGAGTACTTTTGCATTGTACAGGGCATCTACCAGCTTCTGTCTTTTGAGAATGTGGCAGAAGAAACCTAATTGCATCCTGCATTGTCACAGGGAGAATGACCAACTGGCAATTAAAAAAAAAAACACCTTAGCTACCTAATTCCTTTCTTCTGCCTTTCATTGTCACTGCAAATATAATAAAGGGGGATGCATATGAACTAAGTGCCCAATCTCCAAGCAGAGAGCCTTACACTAGGATTACAACGGTGTTATCTGATCTCACTCTTATTTCAGAGAGTGAAAATAAGAGTTCTCACTTGCATTTCTCCCTCACTGCCAGAACAGCTCTGTGTCACAGCTTGATCTGTAGAAGGTTCCTCTTCTTTTTCCCATAACATATTACAGGTTGAAACAGTGCAGAATTTGCTGCTAAGGCAACCAAGAAACCTTGAAGGTGGTTTGGGGACCTCCAAAAGAACCAAAAGTTGAGGACAAGAATCACTGGGCCACCTAAAGCCAACACTGGGAGAATTGGAGGCAAGGAGCATGATCTGCACTGTGAAGATTTGAAAGAAATCTGGGGGACAGAGAGAAAAATATTGGTAGGACCTTAAAGATTTGAATAGCACATATGTGAGAGACAGTATTTAGGGCTGTTTTTAATGCTTTGCTGGTCACTCAGAAAAGGAACCTCTAAAGGAAAGAAATCTTGCTTTTCTGCAGGTAGTTTTAAGTAGTTGAGTGTGTTTAAAGGGTTAGTATTTCTAAGCTTGGAAAATGGAGCATGTGTGGTTTGGACCATTTAAAGTCACATTCCAGAAGACATAAACAACTACAGTAGTTAAATTAATGTTAATCCAGGACAAAAATACTAGAAAGTTAAGAGAAACTTTTGAAATTCCCCCAGTCAAGGTAGCATGAATGAGACTTTCTGGTGTGCAGTCCTGACTAGAAATGCCACAGCAGCATCTCCTGCAGGAGAAATATGCAGTCCTTATTTTACCTGGGATGGAGTTATTTGAGAATTAGGAGAGAACAAATTAGGCCTGTATTTTGGGCTCTTGCTAAAGAGCTGTGTAGCAAATGTGATAATAATTCCTGAGACATCAGGGTAAGATTTACTAAATTTATTTATGGTCTTTCTAGTCCCCATGAAATTAACTGGTAACTTAATTGAAATCAGAATGTCTAAATGCTTCTTTACACAGATTATATGGCTTTGACTCCAGCTATGTAGTGTTTATTATGCTTCTTCGTGGACTTGCTTCTGATAATGTCAGGTTTGTGTACTTTTAAATGAGTGCAGAATGTTTTTTGGTGAGTACTACTGAATCACAATAGCCTATATGAAATGGTTTTCATTTCACTGAATAATGAATAGTTCTACTCTCTCCTTCTACATATTTCAGTATGTGAAGATTCATTCCAACACATTACAGCAGCTTGCTTGAGTTTTCTTAATTGAAGAACACCCCATGCAAAAAGTCATTTAGAACTCTAACAGATGCATTGCTTTATTTAGGCAAAAGCAGTCTTGTTATCTGTCATTTTGCAGTTGATGTGAAAGCGCTGAATGTCGCTTTGGCATTATCTGTTTGACAATGATTTGATGCAATACTACAATGTGCTATAAATTAATGTCAAGAAGCAAAATGCTAATGATAGGGGCCCCTTTATGCACTGGTGACTTAAATAGCATGTTTCTTTAAAATTCAACAGTGACTCACTCTCTTTTAAATAAAACCCCTCTGAGCTATTTAAATAATGCCATGTAGCTCTAGTGCATATTTCCTTTGATTCTGAATACTTCAGTGTTTACTTGAGTAACTATTCAAAACAAGCTTTTGAGCATTGTACTGAATAACACCTTGAAACATATTGCTTTTTGAAGAGGATTTTTTAAGGAAATGTTTGGATATTAAGTAAAATGGTGGAATTCTGTTTGCTCATTCTCTGCACTTTACAGAATTGAAGCTGACAGTGGTTTTCTGTTCTTTCTTGGAGATGGTATCAGATCTAGGTGAAGTCCTGAGCAGCATTTTAAATTTACTCAGTATCTTTTAGGACTCTCTTTCATGTAATCAAATTAGCATTGATTAGAGATAATTTCCCAGGATGGATGGAATCAGTTTGCTCTTCAATTCCTAGACCCTTCAGGAACACACTGACTGAGCACCTACTGGCATCATCACAGTTTAATCAGCTGAGGATTCAGACACATGTATTAGAAGGATCTTCTTTGTTGCAGTTTTACGTGTTGATGAACAGTGCTGGTGATATTTTTTTCTCCAAGTTTCAAATGAAATATTTTAGTTCTTCATATGTAAGTAAATACATCAATATATCAGCCAGGTACCACCATTTTCATTCCTACATCCACATACTGGGCACTCTCAATGCTCTTTCAGACTGAAGGCATTCCCAAAACTGTGCTATTGGAAAAGAAGTCTTTGTTGATGATGATCTATTACATTTGGCTGATACCTCTCTACTGCAGGAATTATCTACATATTGAAGGATGTAAAGAAAAGGAAACAGTCCTCAAAAAGAAGAAAATACATCATGTCTTTTAGAATATTTAATAACAGAGTGCACTCCTTACTTTTCAGAACAAAACAAAGATTTAACAGCAGTACCTTTCCAAATTGGGCCTGAACAGATGACAAACAGATCCTTCCCAAGCCTAAGATCTTCCTGTCATCTATATCTTCATCTTTTTGAGTTAAAAAGTTGTAAGATGGCAAATGAGTTTTGCAGCAAAATGAATGAAAATAATAATGATCTCAAAGAGAAAGAATGCCTTTTGTTGAGGACATATTATGAAAAATGCCTCTTTTAACTTGTCCAGAAGTTGTTACAGGGATTCTAATTCAAACACCTCAGGTCATTCATGAATACAGACAGAGGCTGCAGAAAAGGATATTTCAGGTAACCGTCACTTAAGCTGATAAAGAATTTATCATTTTTATCTATCATTCTACTCTGCATCTGAAAAGGAACTGGGAAAAAACCATCATTAACTGATCATAGATATAAAATACCTTTTAATAGACTGGTCATTTTTGTGCCAATTGAAAGTCTCTGAAAGAGAAGCATTATTAATAATCTATCTGACAGAAAAAAAAATAATCACTTTGGCATAATATGTCCTGTAGGTATTATTAGGGTCCTCCCTCAAGTCAAAATTGTGGTTCATACAAAAATGGATGCACAATTGTCCTTGTTCCATCACAACTCCAGTTGTGAACAATGGCATGTCTAGAAATATCTGTGTTATTAATTCTAAAATCCATATGTGTTTCAATGAGGAGGAAAAATCTAGCTACTTGTCACTTCCAGGCAAGACATAGATAGCTGTGGAATGGCAAAATTGTTTCTTTGTATTTTCATATGGACAGAATTTTTTGTTTACTCCAGCAGTTAAATAACCCAAATTATCCCCATAGAACCCATATCAAAAGTGAAAGGAATCAAAAAATGAAAACAAACCACTGTTCAGAGTGCATCTCATCATCTTCACACACTCTGTCTGTGAAGCAGGGCAGTGTTTCGACTACAGAGCTCTCCTTTCTCTTTAGTGTTCACTTGCAGTAATTTTTATAACTGAACATACAACTTGTCTTCATGATCACTGAATTCAAATAATGCCTTAGGAAGAAACAAAGAAATATCTCACAAGGCAGTATCTGTTCAATGACAGGAAGGGAGACAAAGCCTGTGAGCAGCTGAATTTGTTAGAGTTAGGAGGATATGTACAGGAAAATGTATCGAGAAAGGTAAGGAATAGAAGATAGGTGAAGACAAAAAGAAAGAAATCAGGAAGAGAAAATACAGGAAAGGAAAATCAAGTGAATAGAAGATAAGAGGTATAACAGAAGAGTCACATGAAACAAAACTTCAGATGCCTGAGGGTGGATGTTCACGATGACATTTGTGTTTATTGCTCCACCTCAATTATGTAAGCACTAGCAGCAACCCTGTTGTCTTACTGCTGTGACTAGAGGCAAAATATAGGCAATGTGAAGTTCCTTTAAGTAAAGAGATTGTAAATGAGTGCATTCAGGACAAGGAAATGACTTATGTTTCTTGTTTTTTTTTTTTTTTTTTTTAAATGTTTTTTTTTTCTTTTCTTTTTTCCTCCTAAGATCTTGTTCCTCACCCTAGATTAGTGTACAGTTGTCACAGCTGGTACTTACAACTTTTTAATTGTTTGCCCATTGCTTTGTTCCCTGTGTTTGCACAGCACTTTGACTACATCAAGTCCAAAACTTACAGTACTGCGGGAGAGAGCACTCACTTCTCTCCCAGTGCAGAGGTAAAGGAAATTAATAATTTTCTCTTTTGTCTTTCAACTATTAGTAACTCTCAGGATATCATAATTGCTTCCCCACACTCCCAAATTAAAAAACTTTACCTAAGGGTTTCACCAGATGATCCCCTTCTTTCCACAGGTTCACCAGGCTGCTTGAGCGGCTTGCAGCTGAAGATGACTTTCCATCCCCTACGTGCATGCGGACTACAGTCGATGTGGTGAACGCACTGCGTACGTTTCTTTCTGGCTTAGCAAGGATGATGTAGACCTTGGGCACAAACATGCAGCCGAGGGCCACTGTGGCACTCAGACTCACTGAGAAGCACATGGTGATTATCTTGTAGTTGCTTCCAAAATATATTGGCACAAAAGCCAGCCAAATGATGCAGGTGGTATACATTGTGAAGGCGATATATTTTGCTTCGTTGAAGTTAGCTGGGACATTTCTTGTCTTAAAAGCATAAAAGGTGCAGCTCAAAATTAATAATCCATTATATCCAAGGGGAGTTACAACACCCAAGTTGGTGGTGTTACAAATCAGGTAGACCTCTCGGATGCTTGGGTAATCATGCATTATATCTGGTGGTTCCATTATAAAGAGGGCAACAATGATGCCTAGTTGTATACATATCAAGATAAATGCAATAACCAGCTGGGCACAGGCACTCATGAACCTAGGTTTCTTTGTACAGATTTTCTTCTTGCTTCCAGCCAAGATTCTTGCAATACGGTTGGTTTTAGTTACCAGAGCAGAATAACTCATAGCTGGTGAGAGACCAATGCCAATTCGTTGAAGGTAACAGTAAATCTGTTGGGGTTTTGCAATGAGACAAAAAGTACACAAGTAACCCAAGCAGATACCAGCTAGGATGATGTAGCAAAGTTCTCGGCTGGATGATTTGACCACTGGAGTATCACGGTACATTATGAATATAACTGTAACAAACAAGGTGGCCAGCAGACCCAAACATGCAAAAACAACTGCTGCAATTGGTTCTGGATCGCCCCATCTGAGATACTGGACTGGAATGAGGTCACAACCTACAGAAAAAGAAAAAGAAGAAGGTGAACTGAAGTATGTAGGAGTGAGATTCTTTAATGATAGTTACAGGGTTTCCTGATATTTCTCTTCTTTTTGTCTTTCAGGAAGTTGCCATTATAATGAGTGTAGGTTCAGATTATGTTAATATAATGGCTCAATAAGTACATTTCAGTGACAGCTTATTTCAGTAATACTCTTTATCTGGAATATAACATAATGACCATGATTCTATGATTCTATGACCTGCACAGATGCCTACCACTTAATAGCTCCTATAACTATAGCACACTTAATATAAAACTACCATTGTCTCAAGCCTCACACTGGGCACCAAAAAGAACTGTGGTGGCTTGATCTTACCAGGATACCATGTGCCCACCAAGCTGCTCTATCACTCCCATACTAGGAGGATAGGGTTAGGGGACAAAATAAAATGGAAAAACTCATGGGTGGAAATAAAGGTAGTTTAATAAAGCAGAAGCAAAGGCCACGTGTGGAATTAAAGGAAAACAAAAGATTTATACTCTACTTCCCATCAGTAGGTGATGTCCAGGCACTTCCTGAGAAGCAAGACTTCAGTAAATGTAACATTTACTCCAGAAGAAAAACATCATAACAAAAAATGCGCGTGCCCCTGTTTTTCTTAGGGTTAACGCACATGTTTTTCTTAGGTTTTATTGCAGAGCAAACATCATATGGTATGGAATATCCCTTTGGTCAATTTGAGTCAGCTGTCCTGACTAGGTCCTCTTGCAAGATCTTGCCCATACCCACCATACTGGTGACACCTTAGAATTTTTAGCATATTTAGCTTTTCATAGATTTTAATATAGCTGGAGTTTTCTTTCACTTTAGACCGTCACTTTCTCACAGTTTGTGTGTCTTATTCCTGATGCTTCAGTTTAACTGTTTTTTACCTGTCTTCTCAAGGCAATGGATTTTTAGCAAGAACATTCTGTTGGGATGTACACCTGTACCAGAAAAACAAGATAGAAGGCTCAAGACCCTTGGAGGGACTCCAGTGGGGTGGTTCTGAGAGTGGTATCAGGGCAAAAAGAGTCTTGGGATTGGGTGTCCCCACTGGATATGATAATTAGTAAAAGATATAAAAGTGTAAGAATTCTGTATGTGGGTGCACACCTTTGTACTCCATTGCCAGAAGGTCTTCATTAAAAGAGCTGCTCTCTATCTTATCTAGTATTGCCTGGAAAGTTTTTTCTCCTGATTTTTTAAGCAACATAGGTGAGGGAGGAATGCTGGGGAGACAGCCTTGATAACACTGGTGTGTTATCAACACATCAACTAATGTAAAGCACAGCACTGTGAGGGCTACTGTGGGGAAATGAACTCCATCTCAGCCTGACCCAACAATAATAGAGGGGAGGATCTTGATATTCTGGAGTGCGTCTTCCTGACAATAGTGAACATGCTGGCACTGCCAGATAGGGCAGGACAGCTGGGAGGAGATGGTGAAGTGGAGAAAACACAACTAGAAGCTTTTATTTCCCCTATACTTGTATAGGGAAATTTTTTTGACTAGATGTGATTGCAAAATTTAAATTACTTCAAAATTTTGTGGTTTTTTAATCACATACTGTCTTCTGGGTAGGTCAGAGAGAAGAGTGTCAGTCTGATGGAGTGGCTCATTACGAGGCACTTCACCCTATGAGGGTGGAGTGCCAGGTGCTTGCATCTGTATTTTCAAGAGTGAGGGTAGTTAGGACTGTCTGATGGGCATGTGGCTGCCAAGAAATCCTGATTAATTAGGTAACTTGGGACCTCAGTATCTTGATGAACAAGATACCAGGACTACACTTCAGGAATTTCTACATGCCAAGTCTATTGTTTGCCTTTTCCTTTAAGTGGAGCTTAAAGTTTTTCCAAATCTACCACTGACATTCTTAGTAGTAAAAATCATTTAACAAAACAGTACCCAAAAAAGGGTAGATATTAGACTTAGGTCCTTTCTTCTCCAAGTATTTCTGCATTCTATATCTCTACAGAAATAATATTATCAAAGATATAATACCTAAAATAAATTGACAATTGTACAAGGTGGGTAGTTATGTATTTTTGAAGAGAACAGAAAAATGAGAAGGACTGAGGTCAACAACTCTTTGACTTCAGTGCAGTTGAAGGATATAATTTGAAGTCACTCTAGTGTAACAGAATTGTACTCTTCATTGCTAAATACAGATTAATTTGCCATCCATATTTAAGCTGTTTTGATGTGCAAAGCTTTCTGTTGTAATAATAAAATTATTACCACATCTTAAGGTAAGAAAGACATTAGATTTTTATGAAATGCTCTCATAGCTTTAGTTTAACTCTTGCTCATTCTACGGTTCACTTATTTCTTGTGAGGGAGACACTGTACTTCTTTTTGACTTTTTCAAGATTAATGTAACACAGGAATCACATAATTAAAATCAAGATTTTATGCAAGTGAGAGTGGTGAAAGATGTGTGAAAACCAGAAAACATTCTTTGGTGTGTGTGGATACTCCATGTGGCTGTTTTATGAGAAAGTTATAGTAAGTTTTATGAGTAAATGACCTTTAAATCTATTTCTGATTTTACCAAAATTTAAGTAATATTTTGGAAAACAAGTTGTTACCAGATTCTAACACTACTTCATATTCTTAGACAGGAAATTTGGAGAGAAAATGCCTTTATCTGACAGCTGGCCTTTGCAAGCAGACAATGATATAGGGGTTAAATTTTGCTTCATTTCTAATGTTGTAGCTAGAGGTGAATCATAACCAAATGTTTCTCATTAGTTTCAGACTATTTCATGCCTTCCTTGCTTTATTACTCTTTTACATTCTCTTAATAAAATACCTGAGGAAAAAAGTTGAAAACTTGTCTCATTTTTCCTGTCACTGAGTATACTTTACAAGGAGAATGTTAAACTTCACAATGATTTATTCCTCAATTAAGATTTAAAGACTGGATAATCTTCACAAAGTAATGATTGGTGAAGTTTTCATATAACAGTTTTGCAGGTAATGGATTCTGACAATGACACTTTAAAAAAGGACAACTAGATCAAGTAAAAGAAAGATGGGAAAACAGCACTGTGAGTGTTCAGGTTATGTTGATGGCCAGGACTATACAAAGACAAAAGCTGAAAATTGGTGCCACAAAAGCAGTGCATTCCCATTAATGGCCATTTGGACAAGATCATGCCCCACAGCCTGCCTCTTGCACTTTATCAATATCTCTAAGCACCTGGAAAGTTTTCTCTCCTAGCTGGCTCAGAAAGAGGTGGAACAAAGCCAGCAGTCTTGTCTTGTGGTCCCTGCAGTGTGCTGAGGCAATCTTTGGCTTGTGGAAAGGCTGTTAGGACCCAGTTCAACTTGGAGCAGGCGTTGAATTGCTCTGTGCTCCCAGGTGAATGGCTTCTGGGAATGGAGCCCCAGTAAAGTTGACATAAAACTGCCTTTATGCTCTTCTGGCCAGAAACATCGCCAGTATCAAGAAATATACTAAATGTACATGTGACCAGCAATTCGAGCAGGTAGAAAAAGTCAGAGTCCCTTTTGACATGCTAGGAAAACATTTTCTTGAAGAAGCATCAAAAATCACGAAGAAAATACAGCTAAGGATCTTCTGAGAAAAAAATAGTTTGTGATATTTTGAAAAAGCATTTAGCTATTTCAAGGGTAGGATAAAATGTGTCATAAACAAGGAGAGAAAATGCTCTTGAAGGCGTGACCACTGCCATAGGTCTATTAGTTGGTCTATATACGGACCTTTATATAGACAGTATATATACACTGTCCTCTTTCCCTAGAGGCAAATTTGTCACTTATTTCTTATCTTTCATGTTGCATTAAAATTAGTTCATCTGGGAGAAGAGTTTACAGGTATGAAACACTGTATTATAGACCACATTTTCTGGAGAGTGAAGAGATTTCAATAAATTCTCTTAAGTTAGCATCATGAACTAAAGCTCACTGAACCTGTACATGGAAACTGAAACTTGCAGTAAATTGCTGCTGGCTTAATAAGTCCTAAATATTTTTCAAAGGGGCTTGGCATCCTGGTCAGTGAGTCCGACCTATTAACAAAAGACTTGGTTTTCTCAGTAACTTTTCAGACAACCTTCCAACAATAACTGAAGTCCAAACACCAAGGTTGAAACTCAAACAACCACCTAGATAGATTTTAGTAATTAATGAGTCTTCACATAGGATTCAGCACTCTTTTTTCAAAGTGTATTCATGTTATGCAATTAGATATTAACGCTTCTAAATGTTTCTCTCTTTATAATCTCAAAAGATTGGAGAAGGGATATCTTGATTAGTTTTTTTGATTTTCACATATATGGAAGGCTGAGATGCAAAAATATGCAGTCAGAATAAAAATTTATGTTAAGTTGCTATGGTACCTTTTATAATTTAGGGTTTTTTTTGTTGTTGTTATTTGTTTTGTTTTGTTTTGTTTTGGTTTGGTTTGGTTTGGTTGGTTTGTTTGTTTCTGTTTTTGTTTTTAACCCCTGCACTATCCAAACAGAGGGCATCTAAACAATCTGGGAGACTTATAAGGTCCCTGACCTCTACATGGAGTCTGGACTAACGGAAGGGAAGAAGGACAACTTTAACAAGTTCTGGTGCTGTGGTAAGTTACTATAATCACATTGCCCTGTTCTGATGGGAGCTTTTGCAACTGCTACAATAGCAGAGCATGTAGAAGTGACCATACATTGTCTTCTTAGCTGCCACAGTACCCAGGCTGGCACAGTTACTGAAGCCATTAGCAAATGTGGGTTTGCATAGGCAATGGATGCAGCTTATGACTGTGCATGTGTGTATTCAGCCACCTCTGCAGGGCAGAATTTGGGATCAGCCCCATGAAAGCTGGGGCATCAGTATCTCAGGGGCCTAAGACCCCACTAACTGAAATATACAGATTTAGCAGTGCAGTAAAAGGCAAGGCCGTGAATCTTAGAGTAGTACATTAAAGATGCTCTGTGACCATATGGGAAATGAGTCCTTAATTACACAAGTGTACAGAATGATGGGAATTACTGATGAATTACAACAATCAGGTCCATCCTTATGTCAGCTCTATTGTTTTGATTTAAGTTCCACTAAAAAGTGCTGGCTCTGTGTGTTGTAAATGTTTTGTTCTGAATACATCATGTTCAGCAAACTTTCCATAACCGAAGGCACAATTGCAAGTGGATCCTTCTGGCTTTGTTGGCAAGTTCCCATTCATCCAGCCCAGCAGCCTCCAAGAGCTGTTTGTTGAGCTCAGCATTACTGAATGGCTCACTTGAGCCCAAAGCACTGTATGGCTCACACTGGACTTGAAGCTGAAGTTCACACCTTACCTAGAACAAGCAATTGACCCAGAAACAAGGGAAATTACACACAGAGATCCTGTTCATAATATTATCATCTCAACCCTCAAGGTATATGTTGAGATACTACAGATAAATCTGACGAGAAGGAAGAAAGTTACTAGTTTTTTGTCCAAGCATGAGTCTGATCCCTGGGGAATACTGTATGCATAAGCAATGAACCTGAAATTTGTGAGGAAATAAAATATGGGCAGTTAAACATTCCCTTTCTTGCTTCAGCTTCACTTCTAGATGAAGATGTTTTCCAGTAACTATTTAATCAAGAGAAACTCTTGTTCCCACTTATGTTTTCCACCACCTTCGGACTCCTGTTCCTTTCTGTACTTCAGTACTCCAATGTCTTTTGATATTCTGAGAATAACTTTTGTTTTCCTACACATATTGTATCTCTTCTGTGTTCCCCCCGCTGCATCTGAATTCTGATATTCCATGGGTGACTGAAAAGTGCATTAATCTCCCTTCCTTTCTGTCAGTAACATCCCTGCTGTTAGACATTTTATATAGTGAAGTTTGTGGTATAAAACTGATGCTGATCACTAAACATAAGAAAGATGGAGCAATGTTTTGTTATGTGAGCCAAGAAAGGATTCCAAGTAGGTTTATATCCAAGATCAGATCTTGGATAAAAAACAATGAGGTGCAGCTCCACGTTAAAAGCCATCTCTGGTGCATGGCTGATAAATTTACTGGATTGTCATCTGAAGGTGATCATGTGAGGAAGACTTATTTCAATTAGTTTTTTATATGTGTAGCCTTGTGGAGCTGACATTACCTAAGAAATAGTTTTATCAAGCAGCAAAGAGACTTAGTCTGCTGCAGTATCAGATGTAGGGACATTTCAAGGAGATTGGTGTATATTTTATTAAACTGAATGGAAATTTCCCTTCCAGAATACAAAATACATCTCATTCTCCTTACTTTTAATTCACATTTGTTACCGAATCCTGTGTTGTAAATAAGGTCGAAAGGGAGGTTTTTACAGGCTGCAAAAGTTGGTACTATAAATATGAACATTAGAAATAGAGCTCACTATATTGCATGGATAAACTGGGAACAGATTGTTTTCAAATCTCTTTCTGATACAAAGTTAAACAAGACAAGATCAAGCCATCATGCAAATATAAGTTAATGAGGACTACACAGCTGTGAAGCCATGTAATAGGTGTCCTGGTACTAGGAGGGCACATTTTATCAACTGTGCTCATGGAGGCCAAAGAGGGCAGGGTTCAGTTTCCAAATAGTGCCTGGCAAATTTGTGCCTGGCCGAGGAACAAAGATTAGATCTCCTGAGGAACACCGCTTGGCACTGATGTCAAGTGTTCTCTTGTGTGCTGGTTGACTTTGGTCCTTGTAAAGGCATAAAATGCATGTCTAAAGCCAGATGAATGGTTTGCAAATTGTAATTTTGCTAACAAATACAAAATGTTTGCTCATGTAATATACAAAGTAGTTGGCTTGACTAAAAATACAACTGCTTTCCTTAAAAGCAATCAGTTATGGGTGGAAAATCATTGGCTTATTCTACAAGAGCTTTTGAGATGCCAAACCATCCCACTCTACTACCCTGAGTGCAAAGTGAGACTTTTAGAGGGTGAATCCTCCCACAGGACCAGACTGATGTCTTGCTTGAATCAGGAGATTCATGTGCCTGGGGATCCAGCTCAAAGCACAGAGCTCGAGGACCAACCCTATGGCCTGGTTACTCCACGTTGCCTTACATATGGTATTTACAGGCTAATTACCCAGACTTCATCGGATCAGAGGGCAGTTCCCATCACTGGTGTTTCAGAAGTGTTGGCACTTGGAACAAATTCCCTCCTAACTGACTTGTAGCAGCTCCTTTTCTAGCTGATCTATGTTGGGTAAAACTTCAAGTGCTTACTGAAACGAGGGTGAGCTGGGATCTGCAATATCTCAGACAAGACCCCTGGAGGTGAGAGAGTTGACCAGTTGCACTAGTTGACCTTCATGAACTAACCAATCTGGTGTGATGGCCTAGTCTGTGCAATGTGGGCTTTGGAAGCTTCTGGATGGCCCATCTGGGAAGTGAACCTGAGATTATGCCACACCATCAATACTCTGTTTTGTGGGGCACATGCAGCCACTCTTTTTCTCTCCTTCTTCATTCCCCTGTCACAAGAAAGCTTTCCCTGAGAAGTCTTTGGTGGCTGATTGCTGGATGCCTCGGGAGGTATGAGTGGGGCAGCAGGAGCTGTGGGAGCATAGATGGAGGAGCACTTGCAAATCCATTTTACCACTGTTTAATTTTTCTCAGTTGTCATTTTTTTTCTAGAGAAAGAGCCATGTTTGACATTTTCTGAAACATACTCCATCAATTTCATGGTTAAATGACATTTTTGCAATAATTTGGTAACCTAGTTTATTTATCAGAACAAGCCACCATTCCTTACCAAGAAAGGATTAACTTTACATATAAAAATCTCTCTGGAGGTCAAGCCTTGCCTTACACTCTTCTGCTTATATAAATTCATGAAGCAAATTGTGTTTTCCTTTGTCTTCCCTCTCATCTCAAAGTTTCTCCTCTCATCCATAGATAAATCAAGTCTGTGAGTTCTTCTGGAAAAAAACCTGCCTCTTCTCCCCTTTTCTGTACAAAGCTTGGCACAATGGGAACCTGATCCCTGAACAACATTTTGAAGAGGTTTGTGCTCTGACCACTTGAATACTTGAATTTTGTTTATTAGCCATAGAGAAGAGAGGCTGTGGGATACAAGCATTGGAGCAGTTGATCTCTAAAGTAACCAAAAAGGTATTATGCAAGAACATAGAGGTCTATGCCATGGCAAGGATGAACCCTGTTTTCCAGCAGACTCTGATGAACAAAAGACCAAGGCAAATCAAAGTCTGTTTGGAGCACTCATGCTTTTAGAGGTGGTAACTACAGCAACTAGTTCAGAACTTTTTCAGATTAAAAAAGAAGGTATTACACAAGTCTTCTGTACCTACTTGGGAAGAAAATAAAACTCTGAAATTTGATCTCCCTTAATAATTTCTCCAACAAGGACTTAATTTCTGTATCTGTTTGGGGAAGGGTAAGATCTGCATTACCAGCTAGAGGTTAGGATGGGACTGAATACAAAACCAGGGCTATTTTTATTATTATTATTTTTAGATCAAGTAATTCAGGTCTTTAGAAAGGAGCTGAATTATGTGAACAAATCCTGGGTCAGGTTGAGGAGAGGAGACAAAGATCAGCTTCAGTTCAAATTTCAGCTTTATCCCTGGGTTCGATCTGACCAAACCACTCCTCATATTTATCTGTCATTTGTTTCTTCAGCTCAGCAGATGACCACTTTCACTGACAATATAAGCACAGCCACAACTCATTTACCTGTGAGGTCCTCATTGGGCCAGGAGCCAAGTTGGCAGGCTTTGCATGTGTATTCATCAGATACATATTCGTTCTCTTTACAAGGAGTGCAGGTCCAACAGCAACTCACTTCTCCTTTACGAATCACCTGAGACAAAAATTGACACTTGATTTATCAGCATAAACATACATTCATGCTGCCCCAGTTGATAATTTAATTTTTTGACCTTTTTTTATTGATAGAAGGGATTTTTAGATTTTATTTTAAAGTGAATTCCTTTTCACAATATGTTTTCATATGTAAAATTTGACAAAATTTCTAAGTTCTCCCCTCGTATAGGTACCAGAAGAAAGAAACCACCAAATCCAGAGAAGTATAAGTAGAGGTACAGAAGGACAGTAAGACGGTTTTATTCCTCTTAGAGTTTGCAAAATTCAAAATTTTATAGATGGCAATGTACTTACAGAAACCAGTACATGATACTCAAGGAACATAATTCATTCCGCTCTAGTCCATACGGAAATCATACCAACAGTATTATGTCTCTAAGGGTTCATTACCCAAAGACTTTTGTGTGCTTATTTTTCATCAAATTGTGAATGATTTGTTAAAACTGATTTTTTCCAGACATCAAACTGAACATGCTTTTCCCAGAATTATTTAATTGCTGATTTCTAATTACCATTTAAGAGTGAGAATGTTATCTTTATCCGTTCTAACATCTGACCTGATTTCTCATTTCATAATTTTCTCTCAATTGTTATTTCATGCCTATGATTGAAATGCAGACTTTTCAAGTTCCTTGTTTTTCATCTCTGGGCACTGAAAACATCTGTGCTTCTTGTCAATATGTCTTTCTTTTGAAATAATGTATTCCCAGTTTCTCTACTCTTCCTGAACAATTTATAAACAAATACTCCCAATTATAGCATAAGAAGTAGGTTGACTTTTGTATCTTTTGCAATGATGAGTTTAGAAACGTGTATTCAAACCTGAATACTTGGAATTTGACAAATCTATCAGGACACTGGTACTCTCATAATTTCTTACTACCAGCATTACCAGGAAAGGATTATGCATCTTTCTCTAGGAATAAAGAAAATTCTTCTACAATGCCCAGAAAATTGGGTAGCATTTGTTTTTTTACCTCCCCTTATGTTAAATTGCTCAGTCAGGTTTTTTTTTTCAATTATTGAACAATTCTTTGTTGTATTACTTACCTGTAAACAAATATTGTCTGTCCTTTTTAACAGAAATAATTCTCTTTAAAACAAAAATTTTTCTTTCCCCTTTTCATCTGGTCAATCCTTTGAACCTGTACTTATTTAAATAATCATTATTTAAATAATGATCATTATTTAAATAATGCATTATTTCAAATCTATAGAGTTGGGTTGTGTTTGGATTTTATCAAGTCCTTCATGTGGATGTACTAAATGTTGCTGAGTGTTGGACATCATTATACTGAATACTTCAAATTCCTTCATAATAACTCAGTCACACAGAAGTTTGCAGGAAAACTAGCACAGAGCTTGATAGGATCAAGCTCTCACCATCATCTAGAAGACCGTGAAGATAAAGGTGAATTTTGAGATTTATAATCAATAACCTAATGAGGAGCAAACAGAGCATTTCAAACACTGTATTCCAATGTATCTCAGTGTGTGATGACTTGGCTTCATAGTGAACAACCCTCTTCAGAGAATCCTTGAGAGCATGGGCACAAGGTGGAAGGAGACTGTGTTAATGAAGAACACAAGATACTTCCTGTCACCTGTGTTGTGTCAACAGATCATTAAAGAACTTGGAGCCACACAGTTCTGAAGATATTAGCTGTTTGTCCATCTCTGTCCTCCACATATGTGACTTTGTGGCTGGAGCAGGCTAACAACAGACCCCTGTTTAGTTACCGTGGGAGTAACTCATTCCACCTGCCTTTATGTGTCTGCAGAAGGTATGTTCTCATCTGAATCAACTGTTCTTTCTGAGTGTCTTTTACCATCACTGAAGAGAAAGAAGTATTTCTACACCAAGCTTGGTCTTAATGGTTTTGAAAGCCTACATGAGAATGAGATGACTCCTCACCTGAAATAACATATTGTTTCTATTGATCATAAAGGAAATTCAGAAATCTAATATAATTCCACATGCCTACACTGAACACAAATACAATTGGTCTGATGAAACTCAGTTACTGACTCTGTCAAAGACCAGTTAGTGAATAAAACATGGTGACCTTGTCCTGAAACTCTGTAAAACTCAGGTTGAAGAGATTCACCTCACATTGAAGAGCATGATCAGCCTCCCACCAGCACCTCCTCAGAGTTGCATTCCAGTTTTTGGTCATGCCATTCAAACACATGAGAAAAGGGACCCAGCTTCTAATGAGATTTGTCAGAAATTATAGCTGCTTTTTTTATGGCTGTCCATGCCCATCTGCTCCTTCCACAGATTTTTTATAAGGGACTGCAAGGTAAACTAAGGACTTACAGTATTTTAACTGTTCAGCAGTAAGTGTCATGGGATGCTGAAGGATAATAGTCATCAATAATATATGACAGATACACCTACCCTCCTTACTGCAGCATGGAAAAGGAGGAAGGAAAATCAAAAACCTGGGAAACAGAGAAGCAGTAAAACAGGTATGATTAAAATAATTTGTTACCGACATTTCCTGAGGTTGGAAGTAGTGGTGTATGTTGTTGTTCTCTGATGATACCACAGGTTTAAGGTCTGAGTAATAATGTTCCATTTTAGGTGACTATGTCTAGCACTGAAATAGTAGCAACTATTATTTATAATTTACCTGCAAGTGCACTGACAAGTCTCAATTAGGGATTTTCACTCCACTGATTCAGATGCTGTAAAAATATGCAGCAAAAAGCCCCCAAACAATACCTGTTTGCAAGCATTTGGAATATAAGGAAAACCCAAAAAAGTCCTGGATATGGGAGTACAAGAAGATGACAAATTATGAAAATAGTGAGATGATTCTGATAGATTCTGATAGGAGCAAGACCTAAATACATAAGTGTGCACATTTTAATTAAGGTGTGGGATACTGTCTCTACGTAAAAGTCAAGAAAAACCTGCTTTCAAATTTCAAGGCTGTTCATACAACAAGACTGAAGCAAATGAAGAAAATATTTACCTTTATCTGGCCTTTTTCACAGGGTTCACTGCATACAGATCTGATGATATTACTTTTCTCTGCCCATATTTCATCATCGTCCATTTTCAGCTCACCGTTGTCCCAGCTGCCAACATTGATATAATCGAAGTAGTCCTTCCCCATTTGTTTAAAATTCATGATTTCATATCTTTGGAAACACAAAGGAGAGACATGGCTATGTTGAGGAGAACATCATGAAATGTTTCAAATTAAAGGAACATCATACAGTCAAAAATCAAGCTTGTTAAAAAGAAGAAAAAATTTAAAGCATTATGCTTGTCCTTGAGTATCTCACAATAATTTCTTTGATATCATAATCTTTCTTTTCCTTTGTATTTTAACTTGGGAGTTCTAGAGTGTTTTATTTGTTTGATTTTTGTTTGAGGTTTTTTGGGTGTTTTTGTTGTTATTGTTGGGGGTTTTGTTTGTTTGTTTGTTTTATTTTTGTTTTTCTATCACCATAAAAATTTCCCTGAAGGTCTGGGGTTAAGTAACTGTGCTCCTGACACTGACTATTTGTTTAAGGAAAACTGTGAAATTGGTCAAACAGAATTAATTTTGTGCAGCTTTCAGCACTGAAGCCAATTGCATAAGGAACCCCAGCAGTAGATGCTGAGTAATCTAAACTGGTAATGGCAATTCTGGATGCTGCGTGCTCCTCATTGTCTGCAGGTGCTTACTCCTCTCCTGAGAGAAGAAGTCTGAAGACAGATAAACTCTCAAAGTGAGGTAGAAGCAACTGTGGTCTGTGTGAGCAAAGGAAACTTCCTGTGCCAAAGACAGAGAGGAATCAGGTATCATTCTTCAGGCACAAAGTAGTCTGTCCAGGAATCTTTCCTTTTCTTTCTTTTTTCTTTTTTTTTTTTTTTTTTTTCCTTCTCCACCATTGCAGCAGCAAATACAACCACTTTTATATAATTCCCCAGTGATCAGAACACATTCAATTCCTTGTACAGTATGGTGTGGAAGAGAAAGTACATTCATGACTCAGTCCTAGGCTGCTTTTTGGGTCAAAGACAGAGCTGGTCAGAGTTTTCAGTTTCACGTTCCTCTTTCTTCTACTTTCTTATCAGCTCCCACAGAGTCTTACAGAAAGCCTGTGGAGCATCCTACGACTCTCTAGCCTCCTACTACTGAACACCAGCCCACCTTTCTGCCTTACAGGCCTGTTCTTTTATCACTTTCTTGTAAAGCATACTTGGAAAACTGAGCAACTCCTGAAGCAATGATGTCATGCTTTTCTTTAGCTCCTCTTTAGTGAGTTTTACATTAAGCTGCCTAAGCAATATGAAATTCACTGATGGAAAACAAGCAAAGGATATAGACCAAGAAGATTAACACAAGCATGGGTTTAGAAAAGCTGCCTATTTCATAAACAAGGAGACATCTTTTTCCTGTCAGCAGGCATCAAATTAGTCCCAAAGGCAAAGCATATAGATGGGCTTGGATTACAAGTGATATTGTCAGTATGTAATTTCTAAAGTCCAATGTATAGATAAGTAAAATAACCGGTTTATTAAATCAATCTCTTAAGTAAGATACTGTGCTGGTTTTGGTGGGATAGAGTTAATATTCATCACAGTACTTGGTATGGAGCTGTGTTTTGGATTTGTGCTGAAAACAGTTTCTACTATAAAGATGTTTTTGTTATTCCTGAGCAGTGCTTACACAGAGCCAAGGCATTTTCACACTGTCACATTGGCAAGGGGGTGGGAGTGCATGGGAAGTTGAGAGGAGACACAGCTGGGACAGCTGATCCCAAATGACCTAAGGAATATTCCATACCAGATGACATCATGCTCAGTATGTAAAGTAGAGGGAAGAAGGAGGAAGGAGGGGATGTTTGTCTTCCTCAGTCATTGTTACATGTGATGGAGCCCTGCAGTCTTGGAGATGGCTGAACACCTGCCTGCCCATAGGAAGAAATGAAAGAATTTGTTGGTTTGCTTTGAGCCTATGTGCACAGCCTTTGCTTTTCTTATTAAACCATCTTTATCTCAACCTATGGAATTCCTAGCTTTAGCTCTTTCAGTACTCTCCCTGATCCCACTGGTGGAGGACTGAGCATGCAGCTGCACGGCATTTGCTTGTTGCCTGGAGTTAAACCATGACAGATACTCAAGTGTCTCTTTTAAAATTTGAGGAAACACTTTGAACACTGATCAAGCAGTAGCTATAATCTATTTAATGTCAATATTTTTGCCACACTGATATAAAAAAATTTACAGTAAAACAATTCAATAGTATTGTCCATCAACGGATCACAGGATGCTCTGAATCAAGAAACAAAATCTAACTGTTACAGTGGGGAAACTACTGTATGGCAGGGATTCAGTGCCAAAATCACACACAGGTCAGGATCAGGACTGCAAGCAACCTCTGAAAGAAAACTAAATTGGAGCCTGACTAAACAGATAATGTGATATTATGAACATTATATGATTCTTGAGTCTTTCCAAATGAAGAAAATAAAGTAATGACTCATGCAGAAAGAAAAATTTATAATACTTATGGATTTTGAAATATTTTACTTTCCATCCTCTATAAAAAAGGGAAATGTCCATGGCTTTGATAACGACCTCCTCAAAGCTGGAGATGTGAATGCCAGACTGTCAGAAATTAATTGAATCCAGATAACACAATCATAAACCCAAATAAACAGGCTTTTGCACATGGTTATAAACTAAGTTTTTTTCTAGGGTTCACAGGCATAATAACAGTCTATCCAAGGATTAAACAGACTAACCCAGAAACCCCTGTGGAGTCATTTCAGCACTGCCAGGACATTGCAACTTTCCTGTGAGTAAAACTTTGTTAAAGCTGTCAATTCAGAGTTTCATGGAGAGATGAGTAAAAGTACTGCCAGTGCTCAACAGGCCACAGAACCTAAACCAGTGATCCCTCCAACAGTAGTTCCATACATCCCAAGGGGAATCCTGGGAAGGAAACTAACAAATTAAATATACTATTGTCTCAATAACTCGTGTCTCTCTTCTCTATGGAGAACATCATTGGTAGAGAGATAGAAATAGCCAGATTCAGTAAGTCCATTGCTATAGTGGAGGTTCATGAGTCACTGGTTCCCTGGAGCTTCCTTGAGATAACACAGGGACAGTTTGTCACTTTAGGATAGGAGAGACCAGATGGTGCAATAGCACATTTCCAGCAGTGCCCTAATCACAGTGCAAAATACTTATTTCAAAACAGGAGTGCCATGAAGTTGCTGAGAATCCATATTCTACTGGTAGCACAGTTAAAAAATCAGCATCTAGTTTTTCTTGCCTTTTCTTACCTTCTCAGTTTCTCTTTAGAGTTTCTATAGTATTTACAGATAGTTGTTATCTTCCTGAGAAATCATGGCTGTTCCTTCCATACTCATTTGGTTTTCTCCATGTTTTCTGTCTCACATTAAACAAGCCCTACACTAGACTGTCTCTCTACTTAAAACTCAACATACACGTAAAGGACTTTGGAATAGAAGCAGGTTTCAAAGCAACTTGTGGGATTAATCATCTGTTGTATAATATCAAACCCTTTTGCTATACATCAAAATCCTGAACTATCTAGGTCAGAAAGGCTTCCTATGTTCTGATTTCCTGCCTACTACCACCACCACAGTACAGCTGTGAAGATTTAAATTCCTATTTTATGAAGCAAAGAAGAAGTTATCAATGCAAGTGAACAGGGCAGATGAGTTGTTCCAGTATGATGGCACCATCTCCCTCCTCTTACAAATATTGTTTGACAGTGCTTAAAAGACTATACACTACTCAAAATCTGCATGTTAGAGATGGAGCTTCTTATAAAATCTTCTTAATCATGAAAGAGCAAATTTTGACTGAATGTTGTTTGATTTAAGCACATAGACTGGATTTAATGATGTGACTGTTGTTGGAGAGGAGGGAAAAAGAACTATGATTCCAAAGATACAAAGTTCATTAGTTTGAGTAGACAGAAATATCCCACAAATCCAGGGAAGCTGGACTTTCTTAAAGTTGGGCTATCCTGAGGTGCACATGGTGTCCTCATCAACATGGTGCCCCCATTCTCTTCAGTTATGTCCTGGGACTGAGCAAATGACTGTATGGGATATAATTCCTTCATCATATTTCTTAGAATTAAATTTTAAAATATCCAAGATATTCAATTAAATTCCTTGAAAAACCATGTTGTTAAATCATTATTGTCAAGAATTTCAACATGAGGAAAATGTAAAACAAAAGACCTCTTTACAATATTAAGATATTGTCATTGATGTTGTCATGTCACATATCATTTATTTGTGACAGGTCACACATCACTTATTCATGGCACTTTTCAGTTTTTCTGCAAGAAACAAGTTAAACAGACAGCAATAGGGGAGAATGCAGCCCACTGCATCTGAGCATCAGTAAAATCAAAGAGGAAACCTTTCAGAGAAGTCTGGGACAAGTCTTTTAAAAAGAATTTGGACAGAAAAAATCAGACAACACATTTCTTCAAAATTCAGCTATTTGTAAAAATAGAAGTGTTTAGTAAAAGACATCCTTACTCATGCTAAAACAGATCTGAAAATAAATTTCCATCTAAAATTTTCCTAGGTTTCTGCCAGTTTGTGCCTGAGTTCTCCTACCAGCTCACAGTGCACTTCCTTAAATTCTGAATCTGAAGAGTTTGAACATTTGAGTCTCCAGAGACAGACACAGACTGTTTTTAGGTGGCTACCCTGCTTGCTTTTGGGAAGAATATTGACTTTGCAGGTTTTCAAATAAGATGAGAAAAAAATTCATTTCTGAAATAGCAGATTTTTTTGAAATATCAAAATATTCTGGTCAATGAATTTGCCTTTTCCTACCCATTTCTACTAGGAAGTTAATGCTTTCCTTTCCATTCCACATTAGTGGAACAAGACAGAATTTAAGTGAGTGTACAGGATAGACAATTTTCCCTCTAGTCATCTGTTTATATGGTGCCATCACAACGATGTTTAAAAGCTTCCCAATAATGTTGACAGAAAAGGGAAAGTTCTGGATTCTGCACCTGAGATGGGGCAACCCTTTGTGTGTGTACAGACTGGGAAATGAGATGCTGGAAAGCAGTACCAGGGAAAGGGACTTGGGAGTCCTGATAAATTACTAGTTGGATACGAGTCAGCAGTACCCTGGCAGCCATGAGGGCCAACCACGTCCTGAGAGGAATAAGGCAAAGTATTGCCAGGCAGTCGAGGGAGGAGACTGTCCCACTCTGCTCTGCGCTGGTGTGGCTTCACTTTGAATACTGTGTGAAGTTTTGGGTGCCACAATACAAGAAAGATATTAAGCTGTTAGAGAGTGTCCAAAGAAGGGCAACAAAGATGGTGAAGAGCCTGGAGGGGAGGCTGTATAAGGCTTTATTTGGAAGATATGGAAGCAGATTTTTAATAATTCTGATAAAAACCCCTAAATCCCAGAAAAATCAATACAATATTTCTGATATTGTTTTTTCTTTCTTAATAAAAGAAAGATCTGCTTTCTTAATAAAAGTCTATCTGCTCTGATTGTTTATTGCTCAATCAAACACGTCCATTTAAACACCCCAATAGAGAGGGAAATATGCTGTGGTGGTCATCATGGTCTACAAACATAAAGTTAAAGATCTGATGGCTTGTTTTGAGCAGTAGAACCTTTAAATGTTACAGATGAAAATGAAAATTCATGCAGGAAGCTTTTATGCTGGAAAATCCATATCTTTAACACCATAAAATTGCACGTAAAAAAAAAACAACAAAGAGCTATTTTGGAAAAATAAGCACAGAAAGTCAAGAAATGTAAAAATAGAAGCATGGTATGTTATCTTAGCTCTGATGTCAAGTCTGCATGTATCTATTATACACATTTAACATCTCTGGTATTAAACAGTTTGACAAATGTCAACATTACCTTCCTGGAGAGTCACCATTCTCATCAAACAAGATCATGTCCCCAGAAACCCCAGTAAAGTTAGTCTTCATGAGGGATTCCAGGAGCTTCCGGCCATCTATGGGTTTCATGGCATCACAGAGGCCCACGTAGCCTGGGCACAGCGACAGCTGCATGTTGTGGAGCCCATAGGCCATCGAATATATTGCATTGATTACAAAGCCCATCTTGGAGTCCTGAACATGCTGTGTCCTCAGAGTCATCTCGCCTGCCAGGGAAAAAGTAGGGGGTTAGTGCACAGAGCTGGAATACAGTCAGCTCTTCAGATATCTGTTGATTATTAACAGAGGGAAAAGTATTTTAAAGTGTCTTCAACAGCTCATAGCAGATGCTTTTGCTGGTACACACACTATGTTAAAATAATAATAAAAAAAAAGAAATGTAAGAGGATTCTCCTTAAATATTTTATTATCCAAATAATGCCTTTTCCTCTTCAGCTCATGGCTTCATCACACCTATGTTGTTTTTCGACTGCCACTCTTTCATGTGTCTTTTTAAAGCATGAATCATGGACATTATGATTTGTTTTAGGGAATCCAGAAACTTTTCCCCACCTGCAGAAATCTCTCCAAAACCTCAGAAATATTAGTTTAGGTGTAAATGCTAACATTAGGTCTATGGGTCTTATGGAAAAGGTCTACAACTGGTAGAAAAACAGTGAACTCTGTTGCCCAGAGAAGTTTTGTCTACCCCATCCCTGGAAGTGTTCAAGGCCAGGTTGGGTGGGGCTCTGAGCAACCTCGTCTAGTGGAAGCTGTCCCTGCCCATGGCACAGGGGTTGGAAGCAGATGATCTGTAAGGTCCCTTCCAACCCAAACCATTCCATGATTCTATGAAAATACTTCTGTTTCAGCAACATGGAACCAAGCCTGTGCAAATAGACTGACCTATGAACCATTCTTTTACTGTACCAAAAGTTCCTACCTTAATAATTCTCCTACTTCTACCTCTCTTGCTCTTCTGTCTTTATGAAGTGAGGATAATGATACAATACAGGTCTGTGAAGAGGGTAGGCATTGAGTCTGTTCAGCCAGAATCAGTGAATCTTACTTTGTTTGGCTTTTGAAACGTGATTGCATTTCTATTCTCTATTTATGCTGTGTTAAAATGCACAATAAAAATTCATTCAGCAGCATCCTGAAGGCCTTTATATTTTATAATCCAGTATTATTAATAACACAGAGTGTCTAGGCACGTTTTGCAGAGAAGAGTAAGAATCTCCAGCTGGTGATTGATCCCATCATAAAATAGGTAGATATACGTACAAGCTCCCTTTTTCAGTGGTGAATAAGAACATCACCACACAGTTCCAAACACTAAAATACATTGGAACACATCAGGAAGGGTAGTAAAATACATAATCCGAACTGAAAAACAGTGTGTAGAGGTCAGTAAGTGAATGAGAGGATGGAGAGATCCCTTTTTCCCTCTGTTTCATGCAGAAGCTGGCACTACCAGTTCCAGTCAACCTCATGAGCAGTAATCAACATTTTGGAAGGCTAAGTGATGTGAGCTTGAAGTATCCATAATGGAAAAAAAAAAAAAAAAAAAGGAAGAAATACACAGTGCTGCTCATTCATTCTGTTCTACCAAGGTATTGCTGTTTCCTAATTAAAAATAATAGGCATAAAAACTGCAACAGTGGAGTACATGTAAAACCCATATTAATTGAAATTAAGTGGAAAATTGTACAAGTGTATTACACTGCAATACACAAAACTCAGTTTAACCAATTATTCATACTCAAAATTAAGAGCTCACACATCATGCAGTTAATTATAGTTGCCATCAGAATGAATCAGATTTGCATCGGCAATAGTATTTATCATAAAACAATATTTCGGCTGCTTTATTGCATATGATTGCCTAAAAATCTAATAACCTAATTCTTACAGAAACACTCTCCCCTGGGCTTTGTGCTTAATTTGTATGGAATTATGATTCTGATTTTCTTTAAACATTGAACCTCATTCAGTTCACCTGATGATTTGTAATGCTTAACTCTTCCTAGAAGCTGCTGGAAATTGTCAATGGATTTGTGAGGGAATTAGCCATTGTGAGAATTTTAATATACCTTCTGCTGCTGGCAAAAACATTCACCTAAGATATTATTTGTCTAACTTGGCTATAGAGGGGCAAATCCAACCTGCCAAGGTCAGTTTACAGTACCACAAGACTCTGTAGTTAAGGGAACATCTCAAAAACTGAGACAGAAGAAAATTTTTTTCGCTTTAATGTACCTCAATATGGCCCTTAAAAATACCAATATTACAAAAAACCAAACCACAAACAAATGAAAAATCCCCCAAACAAACAAAAAACCAAAAAATAACCCACAAAAAAACCCACCAAAAAACTAAACCAAATAAAAAAACTCCAAACCAACCAAACAAAACCTCAAGCCAAAACAAAAACCAAAAAAACAAAAAAACAAATCAAAACAAAAAACAAAGTCAAGGCTGAAAGTGATTTCCAACCAATTTGACATGTTAGACTCGAAGCACCTAAGTAACCCTTGTTTACCTCAGTGATCCTAGAAGTGATTTTAAGGGAAAACTGAATACACAAACTAAAAGGTAGTTCTCTCACTGAGAAATAAAGAAAAAAAAAAAGGAAAAATATTTTAAATCTATCTCTGCAACCTGTATACCTTAGCCTTAAACACATTGCTCCCTTGAGAGTTACTGCATATTGTTCTTGCTGAAAACTCTAACACATGTTCTTATTCTTACACCTCATCCATGAGTTCTGTCTTCATCTGAGAAGCTTTCCTTACACAGAGTTGTTCATGACATGTAGAGGTGGCATGGATAAATTTAATGTTGATGGCTTCAGTAGTGTTCAATGGAATTGAGTTTACAGATTAAATTCTTAAACAATAATAATGAAGTAATCTAACAGAATTTGAGGAGTTCCTACAGAATCACTGGACAGAGAATAAATATCCACAGACTATAACCTGTATGTCTTTTTACAATACCTATAGAAGAAGTTTTTTCTATTAGAGTAAGAAAAACCAACAAAACAGAAAACAACAACAAAAACAAACCAACCAAACAATGTATCAGTAAAAGGTCTGTTTTTCTTAATTTCCATATGAGAAAAAATAGTGAAGAGGGACAGAAAAAAGTCTTACTTTCCTGTGAGCTGGAAAGTCCAGTGTGATACCATTTAATGTTGGCATGTAGGGAGAAGCAGGACATGTTTACATTATTATTTTAGTTCTGTTCAGGTGTGGGTTTTCAAAAACCAATTTTCAACTCATTCTCACTCACTGTGCTTTGGGCTGGATTGGGTGTCACCATTTCAGAGCAATATATCAAGTTTATTTTGAAAGACACTAAACCAGGTGAAGTGCCCCAGGAAAGCACAGATAAAGTACCCTAGGAAAGCACCTAATGCCCCACAGCTGCAACTGGGTGTTCAAAGCTTGGAACCATGCTACAGCCAGTTTAGAGTAAAACTCCCCTGAGCTGTGAATCTTTCTTGGCCCATAGAGTGCAACTCGACTCATCACTGCCCCCAGAATGCTGCAGACAGCAGTAGCTGGAGGTATAGAGGTAACAGTGTCTGTGGGCCAGATACAAACCTGCGTTTCATAGGTCTGCAATCTTAATCGATTCTTACTGCAGTTTTGACAGACTTAAGTACCTTTTCTATGGTAGGAATGAGCAATTTTTTCAGGACGTAGCTCATTTTCAGACAAACATTGTTAAGAATACATCAACCTATTTATGAATCTGTACTGAGGTTGATGTTTCTGTCCAAATGGTTACAGAAAATAATCTGCACTGCAGTACCTCAGAGTCAATAAATATTAACGCTGTATCATGATAATTACTGCAGAAATAAAGAATTCTGCCTCCTGCAATTAAGATGTACAAGGCAATGGAAGAATGAAGGGTGAATCAAGTCTTACCTAAAGACGAAAGTAGGAGAGTACTTGGAAACATAAATGATCAAACACTGTGGAGTTCTCTGAGAAATGAGTGGCTAAAGAATGTGCACAGATCCCTGAATTGTGTTATATTTATTCCTTTATCTTTCCTGTCCAAGAAATTTGGATAAGTAAATAAGGGCTTATCCCATTATTTTTCAAGCTGTGAGATCATGAGGCAGTTCCAGATTTGCAGTCATGTAGCCATTTCTGTCTACTAAATATGACACAGACATATCCTGTCCCTTTTTTGGCAAATCAGATAACCCATCTGTCCTTCAGTTTCCCATCTCACAATATTTCCTTTTTACTACCTTTTATCTACCACCTTTCTTTAGACTAAATATTCCTCAGGAAGAGGACTACTTCTCACTACCTCCCTGTTTTTCCTCTGCATAATGCAATCTGCTTGTTATTGGCTGGAGATCCGAGGTCCTATCAGGCTGTCTCTGAAATGAAAGCAAAATTTTCCTGGGTTTCATGGTAAATTTAAGTATGCAAATATTTGTTCTATAGGTCATTTAGGAATCTATATATACAGGACTCAGGTAAGCATTTGCAATATGGTTAAATGTATTAAATATCAGCTTAGGAATATGCTGCCACTGGTGCAGATGGTTAATACCTGTACTTTTTCCTGATTAAATACATGTTCTGTATGTTTGTATTTGTCTGTATTTTCCCAAATTTATTATATGACTGTGACTATATCGAAGGCAAAGAACAGTCTGAGAATGTTGTGAACTCAGAGAATTGAAACCTGCACAGTTTCTTCCCACTCTTCTGGGAGTGACTCACTTCAGGAGGCTTCAGCAGAATTCCAGCAGTGGATAAATGTGGGCTGTGCAGACCTGAACACACCGTGCTGCTCAGCAACACCTCATGGAACAAGGCTTGAGGCCATGTGAAGGCAAGCTCAGGTGTGTGCACACCACAGCTGGGGAGCCTGAGCTGAGACAACCTGTTGGCATTAACCTGGGGGTTCTTATGGGGAGCTGGGCAGGGATGGCTCTGAAGGCAGCTTTGATGATTAGAGCAGCCTTCCAATAGCTAAAGGGGGATACAGGAGAGCTGATGAGGGACCAGGGCAGGTAGTGATAGGACAAAGGACAAGCAAAGTCTTTAAATTGAAAGAGGGTAGGTTTAGATTAGATATTGGGAAGAAATTCTTTACTATGAGGGTGGTGAGATGTCATCACAAGTTGCCCAGAGAAGTTGTGGAGGCCTCATCCCTGGAAGTGATCAAGGACAGGTTGGATGGGGCTTTGAGC